AATGCATTTAAAATATTTGGGCAAAATCACCTGGTAACACTGTACACTATCAATTGATTACCCTGGATGTTCACGTGGCTAATTGGGAGCTGTGGCTCACCGCCTCTGCCCAGCATCCAGAGAGAATATCTTACCAGTTTCTACTGAATGCATATCCCTTTCACACCACCGTAAAGTAAAAAAAATCTTAAATTGAACCATTGTAAGTCGGGAACCATCTGTAGATGCCAAACTCAAAAGGCGTGATTGAAGAGAATTTAATAAAGAGACTGTTTAGGAGGAAGCGCCCCTGGGTTAGCAATAGTGGGAAATTGCTACCACTGCTAAGCTTGAAAGAGTGGTTGGTGAAACCCAGAAACAACTCCAGCTATTGCAGAGGGCTGCCAGATGGGAGACGCAAGCTTAGATGAAGGCAGCTGCTTCCCTGAATGGAAGAAACAGATGGAATAAATGCCTCAATCTTTCTTCCTTCCTTCCACTTTCTGGTCTCTTGTTAGTACCTCCCATTGGCCAAACCCAACCAGGATCCTAAGGGCAAGGGAGTTCTTTGATGCAGTCCAGAGGCCAACCACCTGGGACACAAAGTAGGATGAAAAATAGTAGAGAGAAGTTCTGGATAGACAAACAGAAGACAGTTTGCAAAGATAGGAAGTTACTCAACCCAGACTAGGGGCAGAGAGACAGGCTATCTCTCCCAGTGAGGGTGGCTGCATGGAGGAAGGCTTTTCCAGGCAGAGGGGTGATGGTGTGCTAAGACATAGGCATGTGAGAGGCATATATTTAGGAAGCCACCAGAAATCTAGTATAGCTGAAATTAGGGGACAGGGAGAGGAATGGTCAGAGATGGGACCAGAGGTTTGGAGGAGAGAATAGGGCTTTTTAATCATGAGGGTCTCTCCTATGTGGTGGTGAGAGTTTGAAAAGCAACAGGGGCCAAGTGTGGTGGCTCATGCCTCTAATCCCAACACTTTGGGAGGCTACCTGAGGTCGGGAGTTCGAGACTAGCCTGACCAACATGGAGAAACCCCGTCTTTACTAAAAACACAAATTTAGCCAGGCATGGTGGCACATGCCTGTAATCCCAGCTGCTTGGCAGGCTGAAGCAGAATTGCTTGAACCCAGCAGGCAGAGGTTGCGGTGAGCCAAGATCATGCCATTGCACTCCAGCCTGGGCAACAAGAGTGAAACTGTCTCAAAAAAAAAAGAAAGAAAGAAAGAAAAGTAATGGGAAGGTAGAAAGTGACAGGAGACTTGCATATTATAAAGATTGCATGACTCAACCAGCCTCGTGGAGAATGAATTAAAGACAGATGAGGATACTTACAGCAATTCAGTGAGTGATGGTTGGGGGCATGAACTAATAGGTCATCTTGCAAACATCAAAGAGAATTTAGCTTTGATACTGAAAAGTTGAAAGGGCCTGGTGACCAACTGGGTGATAAAAAGAAGTAGTGGGTTAAATTTTCCATTTATGAAAAATGGAGATTTAGAGCTGTATGTTTCAATGCAGCTGAAACTGAGCACAATCACTGTTTGGGTCTGCATAATTCATTGTTGTGGTGGGCTGTCCTGCACATTCTAGGATGTTTAGCACCCACTGTTTCTACCCAATGGATGTCCATTGCACCACTGTTCCCTATCATGGCAATCAAAAATGACTCCAGACATTGTCAGATGTCCTCTAGGAGACAAAGGGCAAAATCACCCAGGTTGAGAACTGCCTGGGTGGAAGAAAATGGGTTCAGTCCTGGACATGAGTTTGGGCTGCTTGTGAGACATGAGAGAAGAGATGTCAGGTAAGACTTGGGCTTCTCTGGATTTGGTGCCCAAAGCAATGGCCTGGGCTGGTGACTTGGACTTAGGAATTATGAGCATATAACTGACCTGATTTACACAATGACCTGAAATATAAGCACAACACACATTTACCACAACATAACTTCTCAAACTCTCCTCTTCAGTGAAATACTCCTAACTGGTTTTCCCTCTTGTTGACTTTTATTTCTAGCTACATAGAGGAGAAAAAGAGGAGAAAAGGGAGGTGGTAGGGGCAATCAGATATTATTGGATTGAGCTATTGTAAACATCTAGTTTAAGAGATGGAGGTTTGAGATCAGTGAGTACTTGAAACCCATCCTAGCTCATAATCCTCTTGTCTTTGTCTCCCATCAAGGCCTTTGTATTGCTCTGGCATCTTCTCTTAGGCCCCTGTAGCTGGTATTTACTTTGAAAGATACGGAATTCTTAGAACATTGATAACCTCTTATAACATGGTGGAAACTTTTTTTATTATATAACAATACTCTGTGATGGGATGTTCTCAGCATCAAGAGGCTATATCCTTGATGCTGAGAACTTCGGAGAACGCTCACCTATTAATTCTGTCAATCATAAAATAATAGAACCCCCAACATGAGCATAAAGGTACTTGATGGGACCCCTAGTGGCAAACTTCTTCCCAAAAGGGATGAGAGTCAGTGTTCAAGGTCATTTCTACCAACCTGAGTGATGGCTGTCTTGCTATTATGCAGCAAGGGCAGGAGGTGGAGCAAGAATCCCATTAGGCAGATTTCGGGGAATGGGTGAAGAGGGGATCCTGGCATCTATGATGATGAAATATAATAGTGGCAGGCTCAGACTACAAACGTTTTTTGAGCTCTTTCTATTTGCCAACTGCTTCTGTGCGCATTAATGAAGGCGAGCACAACTTCAGTTTATTCCAGAACAAGATATGGTATTTGTAAACATAATCATCCCCTAATGCAATGTATTTATTCAATGACTAACAAGCTTTCTGAATTTATCTGTTGAGGGAGAATGAGCCAATTGTTCATCAGATTTGAGCATTTGTATCCTCCCTAAGCTTGACTCCTCCGCGATGCCTCTTGGAGTAACCCAAACAGATGTGCATTAGAAAGCAAGCTGAATAGAAACAGCTGTTTCTGTATTATACCCAGAATCAACAGTAAATTCCACTTGATATAAGTCAGGCTGTAGAAAGCTAATGAAGCTTAGCTATTCAGTGGGGTTTCAGTTCAAATTTGGGATTGCCACTGAATGAATGTCAGCAGCAGTGTTGTCAGTTTCTTTTTTTTTGGAGACGGAGTCTCACTCTTGTTGCCCGGGCTAGAGTGCGGTGGCATAATCTCTGCTCACTGCAACGTCTGCTTCTTGGGTTCAAGCAATTCTCCTGCTTCAGCCTCCCAAGTAGCTGGGATTACAGGCGTACGCCACGACGCCCAGCTAATTTTTGTATTTTTAGTAGCGACAGGTGTCTGCATTGTTGGCCAGGCTGGTCTCGAACTCCTGATTTCAGGTGATCTGCCCGCCTTGGCCTTGCGAAGTGCTGGGATTTCAGGCATGAGCCAGGTGTTGTCAGTTTCTATCATGGAACCTACACATATTCAGATATGCGGCAATGTGACAGACAACAGTAAATAAACCATACATCCATAATAAGCATGAAGATGTGGAATTTCCTTTTATGATCAAATCTTCCCTCCAAAGAACTTAGATTTTTTTTTTCCCTTTTTTAAGTTTCAGTGGGTGTTTACCCTTAAATAACTCATCAGTTGGCCAGACACTTTTTTCCTGTATCCTTCTTTGTCTCCTCCCTCACCCTCTTACTTAGGACTATGTTATTCTGCTACGACTGTCATAACAAAACGCCACAGACTGGGTGCCTTCAACAACAGAAGTTTATTTTTTCCACACCTTCGGAGGCTGGAAGTCCAAGATCAAGGTGTTGGCGGGGTTGGTTTCTCCTGAGGCCCCTCTCCTTGGCTTGCAGACAGCTGCCTGAGGTTCTCACTGTGTCCTCACGTGGCCTCTCTGTATGGCTTCCATCTACATGTCTCTTCCTCTTCTTAGAAGGACACCAGTCCTAGGCCAGGTGCAGTAGCTCACACGTGTAATCCCAGCACTCTTGGAGGCCAAGGCAGCTGAATCACCTGAGGTTAGGAGTTTGAGACCAGCCTGGCCAACCCCGTCTCTACTAAAAATAGAAGAAATTAGCCAGGCATGGTGGTGCATGCCTGAAATCCCAGCTACTCAGGAGGCTAAGGCATGAAAATCGCTTGAACCTGGGAGGCAGAGATTGCAGTGAGCTGAGATTGCACCACTGCACTCCAGCCTGGGCGACAGATCAAGGCTCTATCTCAAAAAGAAAAAAAAAAAAAAAAAAAAGAATAAAAGGCCACCAGTCCTTCGGGATTAGGGTCTTGTTCTTATGACATCATTTAACCTTAATCACTTCTTTAAAGGTCCTATTTCCACATACAGTCACATTAGGAGTCAGAGCTCCAACATATGAATTTGACCCAATTCAGTCCACAACAGGTACCCTGTATTCTATTTCTTTCTTCACTTTCCCCACTACCACTCTGTCTGTATTCTCAGGCAGGAGTATTATAGACCCATTTCCATTACTTGTAAACAAGTACACATTTGTTAGAGGGTTAGATGCATTTAAGTTGGGCATCAAGCCTCAGGCCAGGGAATAGCTTTAGTCTCTACCACTAGGCAAAGTCTTAAGCTCAGGACAGAAAAAGAGTTATAATCCCCAGGTTATACACATCAGAAAGCAAGCAGCAGGATAATGTGATGAGATTATAATTTTACATCCAGAGATAGAAAAGTAAAGAAAGTTTCTTTCATTTTCCTGTCATGCACATGACCTTTTCTTTATTCAAAAGTATTAAAAAGATAGGCTCGGTACAGTGGTTCACGCCTGTAATCCCAGTGTTTTGGGAGGATTGCTTGAGGTCGGGGGTTTGAGACCAGCCTAGGCAACGTGGCAAGACCCCAACTCTACTAAAACACGCAAAAGAAGCCAGGTGTGGGGGTGCACACCTGTAGTCCCAGCTGCTTGGGAGGCTGAGGTGGGAGGATCACTTGAGCCCAGGAAGTCGAGAATACAGTGAACTATGATCATACCATTGCACCCCGGCCTGGGTAAGAGAGTAAGACCCTCAACTCAAAAAACCAAAATTATACATATGTATATAACTGCAGAGAAATGCCATCTTCTTGTTATGAAGTCTCCTCAAGTTTCTCATGATTTATTTGGATGGGCATAGTCTACTTCCCAGAGTGAAGTTTGGGCCTCTCTCTCAGGTAGGCATCTCGAATGCCCTAGAATCCATTCCCAGTGACCTGGAATTGGGTAGAGAGGGGGTGCTGCCAGGAGTGCGACCAGCGGGACACAGCATCACTCCAATGCTGTCCACCAAGGCTCTGCATCACAGGCTGGTGTCGACCAGCTGCCCAGGCTGTTGTAGCGCCTGCTTCCTCCTGTTGATAGCATTCAGAACTTTCTTCCTGGGACCCAGCTGCATTTGTATGCTCTGAAGGTCCTCATCAGAGCAGAGCAGCAGAGCTTCTAGATCAATCTGCTCTCTCATAAAGATAGGCAGGAATTCTTCCAGGTGCTGAGACAGCAAGAACACTTCCAGGGGCGTGGCATCAACCACGTCTTCCTCCCACTCCACTTCATCCTCATCCCATGGCAGATCATCTTTGAGGCCGTTTTTCTCTCCCTCTTCATCACCTGCGTCCTCATCAGCTGCTGCTCCTCCTTGTCTTTGAAGCAATTCACTGGGCAGTTTAAAACCCAACTCCGTCTTGCTATCTGAGATGTCTTCAGGACTTGATATCCTGCTCCTTCTAAAAACAATATTTCCTAGACCTGGACGATTGAGAATGGATTCGTGGTGCACACTGCTGTCCTCCTCTGCCGACAACTGGAGCTTCTCTTTGAAGTCCCCTGAGAAGGAGTCTTCCTCTTCCTCTCTGAACACTTCCATCACATTCCTCTGCCCACTTCTGCCTTCCTTCCCCACCTGTTCTGCTGTATCTTTGTTCTTCTTGAATTTGATCTTGAAAGTGTCTTTGATACCCTTAGATAGTGACCCGAATGTGCCAGGAGCAGAAGCATTTGAAGGAGATAACCTGGAGAAGGTGCCCTTGGAAGAAGAGAGAGTCCCAGATTCCTCCTTGCTGTAGGTACGGGCCATCTTATTTTGGTGCTTCTCCTGGAGCCTCTCACACTCTTTGATCTGCCTCCTGGCATTCTTCTGAGCCTGCTCCTTCAGCCTGGCAACTTTCTTGGGGTTCATGATGTTCTGGGCAGTGGCAGCCTTGTCCAGGAGAGCAACACATTCATTCTGCTCCCTGCTGGCAGCAGCCTCCAGTGGAGTCTGTAAATCATTATCCAGGGCAAAGATGTTGGCACCAAAGTTGACCAGGAATGAGACGCAGTAGGCATGGCCATTGGAGGCTGCAAAATGTAAAGGAGTGTTTCCCCAGATGTCACACCTATCAGGGTCCCCTCTAGAAGAGAAAATACAAAAAAAAAATATGTGTTGGACTCTTTTTCTCTGATCATGGGTCCAAAAAAATCAGAACAAAAATAAAGAACTAAAGGCATGTTAACGCAAACATGTTCATCCTGACTTCTTGTTAGAAGACACTGGCTGCAGGTCCAGCTGTCCTACAGCCGTCCCATCTTGAGACCACATGACCAGAAACAGCCCATCTCCATCTCCACCCTGTGCCTCCTTTTTGTTTGTCTCTTTTGTTTTGAGATAGGTTCTCACTGTGTTACCCAGGCTGGAGTGGAATGGTGTGATCACAGCTCATTGCAGCCTTGACCTCCCAGGCTCAGGTGATTCTCCCCACTCAGCCTCCCAAGTGGCTGAGACTACAGGCGTGCACCATCACACCTAGCTAAAGTTTGGCGAGACGGGGTTTCGCCATGTTGCCCAGGCTGGTTGCAGACTCCTGGACTCAAGCCATCCACTCGCCTTGGCCTCCCAAAGTGTTGGGATTACAGGTGTAAGCCATTGCACCTGGCTGTATCTCCTTTTTAGAAGCAAAAAAAAAATATTTCTAAGAAATTCTCCAAACAACTTTCTTGTCTCATTGGCCAGCACTGGGTCACATGCCTAAAAGAAGGGAAATATAGTATTGTGTTTAACTTAGATCAATTAGCTTTTGCCCTGAAACTAGGGATAGATTGTTCAATGGCTCATCAAGGAAATAATAAAATCAAAATCCTATAGCATGTGCCAATTTCTGTGGTGTAAATATATCTACCATTGCAAATTTCAAGCTACTAATGTGACATCACTGGACACAGAGTTTGGAAGAGATACACAGCAGCATATCATTATCAGTTATTTCCACCATGTAGATATCATTGTCGTGAATAATCTTAAGAGCATAGGTAATGGTGAAATGTATTAAAAATAGGATGTGAGAGTTTTGTGTTACCTTTTTAATATAATTTGGTAAATTATAAGTTTACATAATTTTTTTTTTGAGACAAAGTCTTGCTCTGTCACCTAGGCTGGAGTGCAATGGCATAATCTCAGCTCACTGCAACCTCCGCATCCCAGGTTTAAGCAATTCTTCTGCCTCATCCTCTGGAGTACCTGGGATTACAGGCCCCTGCTACTGCACCCAGCTAATTTTTGTATTTTTAGTAGAGATGGGATTTCACCATGTTGGTCAGGCTTGTCTGGAACTCCTGACCTCAAGTAATCCACCTGCCTCAGCCTCCCAAAGTGCTGGGATTACAGTTGTGAGCCACCACACCCAGCCTGTAATTTTATTTTTAAGAATGGCTATGTTCTCAGGAGCTCAAGGCTACATTAAGCTATTATGGCATCACTGTACTACAGCCTGGGCAACACAACAAGACCCTGTCTTTAAAAAAAAAAAAAAATCTAGGCTCAGTGGCTCATGCCTGTAATCCCAGCACTGGCAGGCTGAGGTGAGAGTTTTGTTTGAGCCTAGGAGTTGAAAACCAGCCTGGGAAACAAGACCTGTCTCCATTAAAAACTTTTTTAATAAAAATAAATACAAAGTAAAAAAGAATGGCTATGCTTAACTGTCAAACCTTCTAATATTTAGCAATAACTCCTGAGAAGCTGGTTCCAGCATGCCACTGCTACCCTCCTGAGTTGAGTCACATGTGAGGAAATAAATAACTGAACCAAACTCAGACCCCATCAGCAGGAAAGAAGAAAGAAATGGATGTTGGGGAGGTAGCAAATAGTGTGTTATAAACATTATTCACGAAAAGGGTATTACATTTCTATTTATTCCTCAACTTACTTCTGAACCTGACTGCAGGTTCATATAAGTGTGTCCTACAAGAGTTTATGGTGGAATTGGGGATACTATCAGATTAAGGTCAGAGAGCCAATGCCTGGCACAGAACAGGGACACAGTAGGTGCTTCAGTACTGGTGGAATGAATGAAAACCTACTGGAGTCCTGCCTAAGGCAGCAAACCCTCCTCTTCTATGAAGACTTGGGTTATAAACATGCACAGATGAAAAGTTGAGTAACTTTTTTAAAATTTTTATACTTTAAGTTCTGGGGCACATGTTCAGAACATGCAGGTTACATAGGTATACACATGCCACGGTGGTTTGCTACACCCATCAACCCATCATCTACATTAGGTATTTCTCCTAATGCTGTCCCTCCCTTAGCCCCCCATTCTCTGAGAGGCCCCAGTGTGTAATGTTCCCCTCCCTGTGTCCATGTGTTCTCATTGTTCAACACTCACTTATAAGTGAAAACACGTGGTGTTTGGTTTTCTGTTCTTGTGTCAGTTGGCTGAGAATGATGGTTTCCAACTTCATCCATGTTCCTGCAAAGGACATGAACTAATCCTTTTTTATGGCTACATAGTATTCCATGGTGTGTATGTGCCACATTTTCTTTATTTAGTCTATCATTGACGAGCATTTGGGTTGGTTCTAAGTCTTTGCTGTTGTGAACAGTGGCACAATGAACATGTGTGTGCATGTGTTTACATAATAAATGATTTATAATCCTTTGGGTATAGACCCAGTAATGAGATTGCTGGGTCAAATGGTATTTCTATTTCTAGATCCTTGGGGAACTGCCACACTGTCTTCCACAATGGCTGAACTAATTTACACTCCCACCAACAGTGAAAAGCGTTCCTGTTTCTCCACATTCTCTCCAGCATCTGTTATCTTCTGATTGTTTGATCGCCATTCTAACTGGCGTGAGATGGTATCTCAATGTGGTTTTGATTTGCATTTCTCTAATGACCAGTGATGATAAGCTTTTTTTCATGTTTGTTGGCTGCATAAATGTCTTCTTTTGACAAGTGTCTGTTCATATTGAGTAACTCTTTGTAACGATGGCCAGAGCCACACTCCAGTGCTGAGAACTCTGATAATACCGATATTAAGGGGTCCTTCCTTTGCTCTAGACTCCAAAATCAGAATCTCATTAGACTCTGGCCAGGCTGGCCCCATGGAAAGAGGACAGTGAGTCTAAGAAGTCCTCGTAACATTCCCAGGAAGTAGAGGACAGATACAGAAGGGAAGATCAACACCCTTCCAAATGACCTGTTAGTGCACCATGACCCTTCTACTAGTTCCTGGTTTCTCAAAGTTTGGTCTCCAGACCAGCAGCAGAATCATCACCTGTGAGTTTGTTCGAAGTACAGAAGAATCCCAAGCCAGACTTACTGAATCAGAATCTACACTTTAGCAAGATCCACAGGTGATTTGTAGGCTCACTACAGATTGAAAAGAACTTCAGCAAGGTTTACATGATCCAACCAGTGTCCTATACTTTGATAAATCAGATTTGTAGTTGCTCCATGCGAATCCCTGGCTCTTTGATGCTTGTTACAAAGAAGCACTTTCACATTCTTTGCCGTCAACCATCACAATCTCCCTCTTAGAGAAGGCAGGCAAGAATCAAAACAAGACTCAGCCAAGGGTGATAGGCAACATGCTTTGGATCAGGCTGGTCTCCAAGTCATGTGTTTCCCACATAATACATCCTAGAAAACACAGGAAAAGCCCGTTTTACCAGCTACACAGCCTAAAGCTTAACTTTTCTAGGACTTGGTTTCCTCATCTGTAAATTGAAGATAATACTATCACCTATTCATACAGTTATGTGAATTAAATAAGTTAATCTACATAAAGCATGAGAAAACTGCTTGGCACATAGTAAATATTGAATAAAACTTGCTTATTATCCATCCTCTTGCTTTCAAACATACAAGCCTTAATTTCATGTATTTATTTTTTCTCATATTCAACTAGTAAATTCCTGGAGCGCAGTGACTGTTGTGGGTTTTTAAAATCACTTATAGGCCAGGTGAGCCGGCATCAGCACTTTGGGAGGCTGAGGCCAGTGGATCACCTGAGGTCAGGAGTTTGAGACCAGCCTGTTCGACATGGTGAAACCCCATCTCTACCAAAAATACAAAAATTAGCTGGGCATGGTGGTGTGGCCCTGTAGTCCCAGCTACTCAGGAGGCTGAGGCAGGAGAATGGCTTGAGCCTGGGAGGTGGAGGTTGCAGTGAGCTGAGATTGTGCCACTGCACTCCAGCGTGGGTGACAGAAAGAGACTCCATCTCAAAAACATAAAAATAAAAATCAATCACTTATAGTCTGAATTTGACAAATATTTATGCTCTGTCTCCTTAGTTGCGTAATATGCCCCAGGGGGCAAAGCCTGTGTCTCTTTCACCTTTGTGTCATCCACATGTCCCAGCAGAAGTCTTGACCCCAATCCAAAGAAGCCACCCAAGTCATGTAAGTGACTGAATGGGGTCAAGTTTGTTCTTTGAACAAAGTCACAGTTGAATACATACCCCATCTAGAAAGGACAGCCACAGCTCAGCTACCTTGGGTAAAAGCAGAAATGATATTGCCAGAGCTCCTATTTTTTCAAATGAAGCCACAAATCCAGAATTTCATGTGAAATTTTGTGATTTTCAAGTGTTGGCTCAAATTTAAAAGAAAAATATAGTAAAGTCCAAATAAAACACATTTGTGGACCAGCTCCAGCCCATAAGCTGGCAACCGGTAACCTCCTTCTGAGCAGAGAGAACAGTGTGAGCAGAGGCACAGATGGCTGATATTACAAGGCATATTCGGGGAACCAGGAGTATAGATCAGCGTGACCAGAGTGCAGGGAGTTGAGGGTAAGGGAAAAGAGCGGAAAATGAAATTGAATCTAAGGAAAGCAAATATTAAGTAACACAGTTTTGCTGGGAAGCCACTTTCCAGAAGGTTCTGGTCAGTCAGCCTGATTTGATTGTTAGGGATGAAAGGAGACCCTTCAACCTTGGCACAGACCCGCATCTTATGGGACTGCAGTGCCTCACCTCCAAACATGTGGTTTCACTTTTTATTTTAAATAAGCACTAGAGGCAAAAGACTCCTTAAGTATCCTAGATATCAAAGAGGGATTGTAAAACACGATGTTACTAAGACGTCGTTACTTAAGATGTTACTATAAACAGAAACATACTGATTAAA